GACAATGCTAAATGGGACAAAACATCAATTGAAAAAATCAATATTAAATTCTGCAAAAAAATCTTACAAATAAATAGAAAATCCTGTAACTTAGCATCAAGAGCAGAGGTGGGTCATTATCCACTACTGCTCAGTGCAAAAGTTCAAGCTTTTAATTACGGGTTGCTTATAAAGAAACTCCCAGATGATAATCTAACAAAACAGGCATACCTAGAACAAACACAACACAATACTATACAATACAAATGGCTAAATGCAATACATACAATATTGAAAGACAATTCACTAAACTTCATAAAAGAAAAAAAAATCACTATGAAACAAAAAGATCAAATTAATCAAATTTTAAAAACTTCTCTTGAAAATAATATGCCAGTTTCTGGAAGGAAATGATTTCCAAAGAAAATAGCAAACTGGAACATATGCTAAATTTAAAACGGAATACATCTTTGAGCCATATTTGAATGAACTCATAAGAGAAAAATTTAGAATTAGTAACCATAACTTAGCAATAGAGGAAGGCAGATATTCATTTTCTAAGAAACCTATAAACAAAAGAATATGCAATAACTTGTGACACAAATTCAATTAAAGATGAAGAACATTTTCTATTGAATTGCCCAAAATATAACACACACAGGGAAAACTTCATCCAAAAAATTATGACACTACTTTCATCCAAAAATAAAAATATACAGTTCACATATATACTCTCAAGCAAAGATCCTGGCATAATTATAGAACTTGCCAATTATATTTACACAGCACAAAGATTTCTTTAATATTTGAATACTAGTTATATTCTTTTGGTTTTTACAAATATCTTGTTATTACATGTATTTCAAAACCTTTTTTTTGCTGTACTTATCCTATATATATCTTTTTACACAGAGGCAATGAGGTTATTATACATTAATATTTTTATTATTATTATTTACAACAAATGCATTCCGTTCATCTTTATGAATGTTTATAAATGTCAATGAAAGTTGAATCCAAACAGCCAATCAACGAGCACAATGTTATACAATGATCCAATAGAAAATCTCAATTCAGTTTAATTCAAGAAAATTTTTAATATTTATAAAAGATGAAGGAACTGTCTTTGTTGTGCTGAGAGTACTTTACAGTTTTCTGCACTCCATTGTCTTGTTGAATTCTGAAAAACGATGTTTGCCTGCATCTTTTTCTTTCTCACTTTTTCTTTTTTCTTTGTAACCATTGAGTGTTTATAAAGTTATATATCATTGGATAGTTAACATCAGATATGTAAGGGCGCTCTTTAAGGGGTGCGGTTTATATAATGGGAATGTATTGTTGCACACAATAACGATACTAGCAAAGTCGGTCATGGACAGTCTTTGAATGAAAAACAGCAATATAAAAAACAATACCTTGTTTAGTTTGATTCGTTCCTCTTGGTTTAAGACGAATTCCGATTGTAGTCGTTCTAACCGTGCAGCCCATTCTTCGATATCTACGTTATGATTTTCATATTTTTTGGTCACGATCTCGAATTGTTCTAAACAAGAGATTATTTTGGGCATGAAACCTGCAACAGCATCCGGACCACATTTTTCGATCAATACTTCTAGTTCTTGTCCGATCGATGCTGCGATTTTGTAGACGTCGACGATAGAAAAGTTTGAGTCAGTCATATCTTGGTGCATCGAGTCAACATTATCGGTCACAGCATAACAACAATATGTCCAGCCTTGTTTGTGGACGAACACGATAATCAAGTTTAAGTCTAACCTCGATTGAAAACGCAACAAATCTACGTCAGTCCCTGATGTCGGTGCAGCTATCGCAATCACATGACAATGACTGTACTCGAGTGCTTGTTTACGTTACATTGTCTTCGTGCGTTGTTCCGAAATCATAAACGGTGTTTTGGTATGTTTGTTTATAACCAGGGTTTATCAAAATCTGATAATTTACATGCGACCTCACGAAATGTGAAATAAATAATCTCAATAAATGTATGGAATCATTTCAAGAATGTCCAAGAGTCCCTTTAAGTGTCTCACCTTTGACCTTAAAATACACCCAATCAAATTCATGTTCCTGGTAAACATTGTCCAATGGGACAACTTGTTACAATTAATTTAACGCCGTTCCGGTTCAGCCAATCAGAAACAGTCAAACTATTTTAAACGCTGCAGACGCGACTCCATTCATTCTTACATTTCGTAGTGATCTTAGCGAAGTTTAAGGTTTTTTCCGAAAAATTAGGTATCACAATGGCTAGAGGTAGGTATTCTCATTTCTACTGCACTGCTCAACAAGCTGTATACATTGCATTGCATTGCATAGCACGAAGTCAGCTTCGGCATATTCTTCGACTGAAAATGGCCGAAATTGACACCTTTGCTTTGACTGCAAATTTGAGCATGCAGCACTTTGCTAATTTACCCTTCTGTGTTTCGTAGAAAAAGTAACAGAGGACACCAGTGCCGACGTAGTCGTGGCAGATGACGTCAATTTTATCAAACCAACGGTTCCCAAGTTGGTAAGTATTGCATGCAATAAGCTTCCCTTCGTTCGTGTTGGTTTGTTCGTAAAAGGTTATTGTTGTCACTGTTGAAATCTCGCATGCGATGTTTGTTGTCACCTCCATTTCGACATTTTGAAACC